CCGCGACGCGGGACCCGAGTACATGACGTCCGTGCACCTTGCAATCTCTAAGCTTCCCTGGTCCTACGAGCTCACAAACTTCCCGAAGACTTCAAACCATATTAAGTTCACAACGCAAAGTTCTACGAACTACTCAAGCACCTCCGACTACAATGGGCCGCAGGGACGACCCCATTTGAACTGAGTTCACTGCCATTCGCAGCAAAGCTCCTCCAGTCAAGTTGCACCCTGATGCTGCCTGCAACTACTGCAACGAAGTTTTCACGAACGCTCAACCTAGTCGCCATCTCTACCCGCACATTCAAGTGTGTTCTCGTGCCACGACAACGACGAAGAAAAGGTGGGCAGAATTAGCCTCTCAGAAGAAACGCAAGGCAAGCTTTGCGGAGATTCGCTCACCATCTAAGTCTCGTCGAACTAGCTACGGGGACTCTGTGCGAACACCTCCTCCAAAGGCCGATGTGAGCAAGGCTGAGGAAGAGAGTTTTCACCTTGACGTTGCCAAAGCCTTTTCACATCTGGAATACCTTTTCGGGTGATTGAGAATCCACATATGAGAGCTGCCTTTACCCGCTACCGGCCGGCCATGAGGCTCCCAACGCGTCATAGCCTTGCGACAAGTTTGCTGGACACAGTGTACATCATGGAGAAGAAAAAGCTGGCGCTGCTATTCAGCCGTCAGACATTCTTAGTAGTGATCACGGACGGGTGGTCGAATATCAACCGCGAAAGCGTAGTAAATTACGTGATCTGGGCACCAAATATGCGCCCAATGATGTAGTCTTCTGGAACTACTCGAGCAGAAGCTCACACTGGTAATTTCATGGACGTCCGATATTTCAAAGATTATTGCAGAAGTTGATCGTGTTGCTGGTATTGGAAAGATTTCAGCTGTGGTATCTGACAACGCCGCTAACATGAAGAAAGCAGGGCGCCTAGTTGAAGCGGAACATCCGAACGTGGTTTTCAATGAGTGCTCAGCTCATGCTATGTGCAGCGGGGCTGCCGTAGCTTAGCGTCAGAGGAAGACGGTTAACTGGCCAGCACGTCGTAGAACTTGATGCTGCGGTCGG